ATTATAACATGATGTTGACCCGGGTCAAACCCGGGTCAATTAAATCATGACCCGACCCGACCCGTTTCGGAGCTCTAATCTCCACTTCCTATATAAAAGCCAAAAATATACAAAAGAACAAATAATTCTTCGGGAGCTTCTTAATTACACAGATTTGCCAAAAGAAGTTTGTATGAGAATAAATGAAAAATTGGTTAAGGGTAGGGGGGATCACGTGCCAAATTATATATTAGATCCGGGCTCAGAAATCCAAATTTATGCACGTTACATAGATAAGCTACGCGAAACGCGTTTAAACATCATCAAAATTTTGTTGCATGTAAATACAAAACCCCTTTAATTTTTTGGAATAAAATTCTTAAAATTCTTCAAAAAAAGTTACCAATCCCATAGTAACCAGTGCCAATCCCATAACCAAAGTATACAACATATAGTAAAAATTACTCTTTCTGAAATAAATAAATAATTTTAATTAATTTAAAGCAAATTTTTCACCAGCTTAATGATAGCTTCTTATTGTTTAGTAAAACTATCTTATTAATAAAATATTTTTTATATTTAGCATTTGAAAATGAAAAATTGGTATAAATCATTAACAGAAAATAATATTAATTATAAATTATTTTATTGAAAAGATCAAAGTATTTTTGTTCATGATGATTCATATCAACTGAACACCATGGAAGCATATCAAGATTTATATAGCTCATATATCTTGTGGATAAAAACCCCTATAGGCATGGAATCAGATTTAGAAGATGAAAACAATAATGATGGTTAGTGCAACAATGTCTGAAAAGAATGCTCATATTTTGTGTGAAAAGATGAAGATAGAATGGAATAATCTTACTATAATTAGATCATCATCATTTGCTCACCCTCATATTTTCTTGCAAGTCCACAAAAAGAAAAAAACCAAAAAAGAAGCTAGCTATAGTCAAGTTGTTGAGGAAATTAACAAAACTTCCGCTGGAAGACATATAGTTTATTGTGCAACACCTGAAATTTGTGAAGACCTCAAAATCTATGTAACTAATGAAATTACAAATTCTGAGATTGGCCTTTATCATGGTAATTTATCTGGAGAGGAAAAACATATGTCATTAATGAAATGGAAAACTGGAAATACTAAAATAATCATAGCAACAAATGCTTTTGGAATGGGCATAAACACTTCAGATGTATACCTTATAATTAATTTCAATTTCCATTTGAGCCTTGGCCAATATATCCAAGAAAGTGGGAGAGCTGGAAGAGATGGTTCACAATCAAAAAATGTTATTTTATATTCAAAAAGTGACTTTAAATTATTATGGAATCATTTTTGAATCAAGAGAAGATGCTAGAGAAAATGAAACTTTGCAAAGGAGAATTTATCTTGAACAAGGACTCCAAAGCCTTTGTGAAATAATTTTTTTTTTGAAGAAAATATAAATGCTTCCAACAAAAATTACTTAACTTTTATGCATGGTCAGCAGATATTGTGTCTTCTTCCTGTGGTAACTGTAGTAATTGTCAATGTAGAGCTGTTGACAACCCAAGCTTAATCAATGTAACTACAGATGCAATTAGAGTAGTTGATATCATTAGGAGAACAATTGAAGAATTAGAAGAAGATAATATCATTGTTCAAGATGATGTAATTGGAATTTTTCTTCAATTGAAGAATAAAAAAATAATTGACAAAAAATTGAATTCACTTTCAATTTATGAGGAAAATTTTGATAGAACAATTTGGAATTCAAAACAGGCATTTCACTTACTTGATGATTTAATAAATAAAAAAATAGTAGTAGAAGCAGTTATGTTGAAAAAAACTGATGCTGGTTTTTGGATATCAGATTCAAAAATTACAGGTGTTGCTGGAGATGCTGAGGAAATGGTGTATTCTTATTCTTGGGATTACTATTTGTAATGTGATTTACATATTAATATTGTGGTAAAGCAGATTGTTGTCCAATCATGTTTTGGACATGTGTCATTTTATTATTAATATTTTTTATTACTATATTAATTTAAAAAGAAATTAATTTTTAGAACATAAAAATTATTACCTTTTGACCAAGTGAAAGAACAATCAATAAATTGACTGATTAATTAACTATTTAATTAATATTTCAGGGCTTGCTTATAATATAAAATTTATTTACAAATAATTCATTCTATTTTTGCTTAATAAAACATTTTTTTGGTTGGAAATTAAACAGTAGGATTTAATTGTCCATTTGGTTATCAGAGTGGTATAAAACTCTGAGGTTTTGGTTATTTGCTTTAATAAAGTAGAGCTCCGAAACGAGTCGGGTTTGACCCGGGTCAACATCATGTTATAATTGCCTTTAAAAGTTCAAAATTATTTTTGAAACTAGTATAGATACTAATAAATGAATAAAAATAAATGGCAAAATAACAATTTTGACAT